TTCGTTGTAATCAAATAAAATTGCCTGACAGGATCCCCCAGACACTCTAGATTCCAGACCAGTAGCCGACATCTTCAGCTGAGTGGTGAAATTTCGATTTTTCATTTGTTTTCTGAGCTTTGCGGTTTGGTTGTAAACGTTTCACCACCATGCGATGTGGCGTCCTCAGTGCAATGACATGCAATGTGCAACCTTACTGCATGAATCGTCCATCCGTGCTCGACCTGCAGGTGACTTTTGAAAGTGGATCTCGAATTGTATCCCCTGACCTCTACCCACTTCCCCACGACTGAAATCGGCGCTCGAGTTGTTCTGCCTTAAACCGCGGGACAGAACGTTGTTCATTTCTTTCTGTCGATGTGGTTGGTATATTGAATCGATGTCAACGCGCATGTTGATTAAGTTTTTCGTTGATAACCAAGCTTAAAGAAATGCCCTTTCCTTTCTTGTTTCACGCCGTGCCAGGACTTCTGTTTTGTTCCAATCGAAGTTATCTCCTTCTTTATCTACCTGCAATGAAATTAACGATGATGCACAATGCTTTCCACAGGCTCCTTTATGTTCTTGTATCCTTTTTGCCAGTTTGCTTCCCGTCTGGCCAGCATAGCCCCTTTCGCAATCTCGGTAACTTATTTGTATACCACATTGCATTCTTTATGTGCCTGCAGATTTTCTTTTGGTTTCGACAGTTTTTCTTAACGTGGCAGTTGGTTTGCGTGTTGCGATGAGATGATGCTTTTTGAATAGTCTGGCTGTCATTTCCGATAGGTTCATTATATAGGGAAGAACAACTCGTCTCTCTGTTGTTGTTGTTGTTGTTGTTGTTGTTCTTGTTCTTGTTTGCGTTGTTGCAGCTGCTGCTGCTGCGGTTGTTGTTGTTGTTGTTGATGTAGTTGATGTTGTTGTTGTTATTGTTGTTGTAGGCTATCTGTGTACATTGTTGTGATTCAGACACCTTCGGATGAAGTTTCTTGGGTATCCGTAGAGTTGCAAACAGTTAAATGGGTGCTTTTCTACATTTTGCTTTGCTTCTGTGGTACTGCTGTGTGTTTGCCCTCTGCGAAACAGTGTCCGCACGCAGCTCACTTTGTGGTATTTCGGGTGGTTGCTGTTAAAGTTCAGAATTTGGTCTCTGTGTGTGCCTTTTCTGTAGACCGATGGTTGCAGCTCGCTTCCCATGGTTTTTTTCACTAAGATGTCCACGGAAGGCAAATAGCTTTCTTTCTCCGGTGCCATTGTAAATTGGATACCTTACATGGGGTTATTCAATAGCTGTGGTGCGACTGTTGTTTGGTTGTGCTTGATTATCTCCAATATGTCGTCCACATAGTGTACCCACATTTTCGGCGTGATGAGTGGCAGTACACCAAAGATCACCCCATCAGCTGCATACAGTAAGGTAGATAAGCGAAAACCTGATACTGCTGGCGCCCCCCATTTCCCTTAATCCTCTCTAGATCCCAATTACTCACTTTCCCTATATTATTTCATGCCTAATCGACAGCAGTAGCTACATCACCGTAGTTCTATCCTCCGCTGCTATCTTCTTGCACCATACACAGGCCGCCTACAGGCTAACTTTCCTTGTAAGGACATTCTGTCCGGGTTCCTTGGTGGCGATCTACTTTCACCCTCTGACAAATAGGTCAACGGGTTATACTCGCAGGCACGTTGGACACCCTGGGTATTGATTTGTGCTGCGTGCCTGAAAGTAGGATCAGTGGGTTGAGTGTTTCGGTGTGGCTCACTTCTATCCTTTGCCGGGTTGTTGAATCAATTACGTCCGGCCTGTCCTTTCGCTACTTGTTACATGTACTTGGGGACGCTGATGCGGAAGGCACTGGTCAAGCTGAGGTGGGAATCATTCTCAGCTCCAAGACTGAATTGAGGTTGGTTGACTGGATCGGCGTGAACAGTCGAAGGTGTGCAGCACGTTTGACGATATCAATTAAGGTTGATAAATTAAGTGGTGCTAGACGCCGTTTGTTTGCGGTTTATGATCATACACCCTATCGACTGCAGTTCTCATGCTGCCAAGGGCACCTTCTACCATGAACTGAACACGTTACTTCGCAGTGCTACCTGTTCAGATATCGTTGTTGTGGCAAGGAATATGACTGTGCTATTCAGAAGCTCACCTACGTGGTAGGTATAGAATTAAATCCGATCACACGGACAATGGAGCGTCTGTCGAAACTGTGAGCGGAGCAACGACTGTTTCTTATCAGTGCCGCCTACAAGTACCGAAGTGCCATTTGGCCTTCCCCTATTGTTAGCTAACGATGCACCCAAATGTATCACATTGTCATTAGTTACAGTTGGTGTGGTTACATCCTGGATTGCTGCTCGTTCTTGATTACCTGCGTCGAATCTGATCATGGTTTGGCACACTGTCGTTTTTCCATCAGCTTCACCGGAAGGCGTATCAAGCCCATCTCTCGATTGGCAATAGAAGAGCTATCCTCAGTCATCGTTTAAACGAGCGTAACAAGCTACACTGCGTACCGAAAATTTGCTTACTAGTTCTAGTGAGACCAGACTGAAGTAGAATAGAATTTTGACCGCCATGCATGGAGCATCTGCTTGCTACACTATCAATCCGAGAGATGGGCGAATCTGTTGGAATTCAGTGGAAGCCTCCCGGCTGTCTCTGAACACGTAACCAGACCGACTATTAGGCGCGGACTAAAGTTGATAAGGAAGCCTAGTTGAACAGTAGGGCACTTCCAACTGATCCGCACCACTGGTTCCAGGAAACAAGGCGTCAGTGAGACAGTCAGAGACAGTGCAGGCGGAGCACTCTCGAGAACAGTTCAGCTGTCCCACTGCTTCTGGATCTCTTCCTACTCCGGTTCTGCAGGCTGAGCATTGGCCAGTCAGTTTACAGACTCCATCGGAGGCTGAAGTCCGAAACGCGATCGCAGACTTTTATCGTTTTCGTGCTGCTGGCCTGGATTCCTTCGCACCCGTACTATTTAAGGCTGGTGGGAGGTCCTCAACAAAGCAGACCTCCCAGTTTGAACAGGTCTAGAAGGCAGAGGCCATCCTAACTAGCTGGAGTGAATCGATTATAGTGGCAATGTACAATAAGGACAGTCTCACCGACTGTGAGAACTACAAGGCTATTAGCCTAATACCAGTGGTAACAATACTACTGGATTCAACTCTCGTTCGTCTCCTCACTGCGGAGCGGGAATTCCGGATGAGGAAAGAGCAGACAGGTTTCAGCTCAGGACGGTGCTGCATATACTGTATATTCATTCTGTGGGAGGTTTTAGAGCAGTGCTACCCGTATCATACGCCTACAAGAACTGTGTTTCCCCACTTCAAGGGTGCGTTCCATTTAGTCGGTAGATCAATTCTATTCAAAATACTTGTGTGGAAAGTTGTCCCTATGGAACGTGTGAATACTTTTCCTACCTTATACTCGAACACGACAGGCCGCGTCAAGGTCTAAGGTGATTTGTCGGATGCCTTCCCGGCAACAAGCGGTGTTCGTCAGGGTGTCCCAATTACCCCAGTTTTGTTTGACATTGTCGTGGACGTCGAGCTGCAGGTGCTGCGGTGCTATACGTTGAAAATCTAGTTGATCCTGCTTATGCGCACGCTATTGTGGTGCTGTTTAACCATATTGGTACGACGCAGTCAACCTCATCAGAGTGGTCCAATTGTTTGGTAAGCGCTTTGCACGTTCAAAGTGCAAAATGATGTTGCAGAACCAACAGCCACTTGACGACCACTTGACCCTAATAGCGAGAAGTCAATCAATTCACTTACATTGACAGCTGCATAAACTAGGATTGGTGTGTAATTACCATAGGCTGTTCACGTATTGCAAACGCTTGAACCTGCGACATCTGTGACGTCAGAATGGGGTTTCCTTGGCCTTCTAGCTGGTGTTAACAAAGCCACAGTAAGGAAGTTACGCTCTGCGGGTGTGAGACCCAGCCCCTTTAGCCTGAGGCGCCTTCAAATCTTTGACAATGGTATAAGTAGAAATTCATCACACCCAGACTCAGTCATGCAGCCATCATACGCCCGAAAAAACACTGCGCGGCCGTTTCATCCTGTCGGGAAACGTCAGCATTGCGCATTCCATCCGATCTTTGTAAGGCTCGAAGCCGCAATTCAACCATTGATAATGGTTATCTGCGAAGCATTGCTGATGTCGGAAGGCACCTGAGTGTCCGCAACGATTATATGGGTTGGCGAGTGCTAGACAGTGATAATCAGATCAGTTTCTTATCCAACAGACAGCACTGAATAAGTTATTTTGGTCTGGACAGGTACTACATATGCCCGGTCACCGCTTATCGATGACTGCCCTGTATTTTTCACATGTAGGGCGGCACAAAGCTCGAAGTGGTGAAAGGTTAAGTTAGCAGCAGAAAATGAACTCATTGACGACCAAACTCGGTGCCGTTGGTCGGTCCTGCCTTCCAGGAGTCCACATGACTCGCCTTGTGCGTGGCCCGGGACGGTACAGGACATGCGCGCTGTCGGTACCAGTGGCGGATCTGCTGTCGTCTCCTAGTCGGGCTGCCTGTTTAAAGTGTGTTTGATGCTGTGTTAACTGTGGGATAATGGCTGTTTATGACGTGGGGCAATGAAAGGCACAAGGAAGCTGTTGTGCCGACGCCACCTTACGTGTTCACGATGGCCAAGTGTTTGTAGCGGTATGTTGCTGGCAGCTGGTGTAGGTTACTTGACCCTGAATGTTTGCTTAGGGCATAACCGTTCTCCTTCATTTAGTATTCTTCGCTACGTAGGTCAGCTTGGTTGCGTGACAGCAAGACTTCAGTCCAATTGTATGATGTCCTGATAATGTTATTCAGGATGGTGACAACTTGCTTAAAGAATGACATGGCAGACATTGACTCAGATGATTTAGAAGGATGAAAAGTAAACTACCATCCATTGGTATACGAAATTGATTGGTAAGCGTTGTAACAACAGACTATTTCTATGCTCAATGCGCAAACTTCAACAGGAGAGCTAACCTCGTTGCACTTGATAGGCTTTGATGTTCCGGAAGATGAGACTGCATTCTGTTCGCCCACATAAATTCCGTGTTTTTTCGTCACCAGTCCGTGGTAGACGGCGCTTTTTTGTTCAGTCCCATGGCGATGAGTGTCACCCAAAACCAACTGTGTCCCGAAAGGGGTATATCTGAAGTCGAACAACTTAACCGGACTGGACAGCAATGTTGCTAGTGGTTGTTGGTTAGCCATTAGAGGAACCCAGATTGATAGACCAGCCTCCAGTTTGAGTGTTTCAAAGTCCACTGCTTTCAGTTGTTCGATCAGTGGAGCGAACAAATAGACAAACAGCTGAATGGACGCGAGGTCGTGCAGCAGTCCGCCTTTGTTAGGTCCAGTGATGGAAGCTGGAAAATACATTAAGTTAAAAAGATGAAGGTATAGAAAGAGTTAGTATCCGAGCTGCGTAATGCGTAAACACATATAGTGCATGACTTCGTCGATAGTATTGTGTTTGTTTGGCAGGAAACATTTGTACATCTAACATATGTTGGAGTGATTAGTGTAATCGAAATTCAGCAGCCTATATTCACTGCGAAAAATCGAAAATATTAACCAAAACTCTTACCAAGTGAAAGTAGCAGACTGGTTCTTATATTTGCAACCATGATACAAACAAAGTGCGGTCGTTAGCGAAAAGGTCGAAGAAGTGACTGAACATGTATTTCTAATTTTAGCCGCATTCGTGTTATGAGGGTTAACTTTTGTCGCTTGATATATGGGCTAAATTGGGAGTAAAACTCAAAATCTATGTAGAAAGGTTTCGGCACCATTCCCTCACTTTTCCTCAGAGGGCCAAAGTACTAACCGATATTGATCCTCATAACACCGCTTCTTAGAACATACTTCAATACCGCTTGGTCTGCTCACTTGATGGCGCACAGCTTAGCAATCAAGAATGCCATTTTGGTTAACACAAGGTTCCCTCCACACCGGAATTTCAAAACGTACCTCAAGCCGACAGAAGTCCAATGGGTGTAAAATCAAAGCATTGGGTCAAACCAATGAGCTAATTGTTCTGAACTCACTGCATCCACCTGGTTTGAGACGTAACCGGTGTAGCTGGCTATCACCGTTGCAACCCCTTATTTGCTACCGTTCCGTAGACTGTTGCTTAACCGGAGCTGTGGGCATGCCAAGTGTGAATTAAGCTGACGCTTTGTTGGTCTCGTGCTTGAGCAGTTATAATGGGTTCCCTCTGTGACAATCAGTCTTACTGTACATAGGCTGCAGACACCAATCCTGACAAACAAAGCATTAAAACCTTCCGAACAGCTGCCCGGGGGTGCCGGAAGCCTGTCACTGATACATACGGTTTCAGTACCGAGCTTGTGTCTTCCATGTATAGTTAAGGCGAAGTATGATCTATGGAAGTGAAAAATGAATGATTCCGCTTTTTGTTACGCATACAACAGCGACGTAATGTCTCACATGGTATTCGAGGGTAAAAGATACTAAACACAAACGCTTGCAATTACACTGGCGGTGGGAGAAACTGCTGGCCCTTCACAAGCACCTGACTAATCTCAGCAAGAATAGCATGTTACCTAGACAAATACATTGATACATGTATCGAAAATGGCTCGAAAAAATCTGGCCAGTACAAATATGTAAGATAGAACAGAGAACAACCCCACAGATAAGGCGTCACTGACGTTCTACTTAAACTTAAGGTCAGCTGCTGGTGTCAGCTCATTAAAAGAAAGCCACGGAGCTGAATTTCGCTGGTCAGTAAAACATTGCATACAGCTGCGACTAGGTAACATATTCGCGTACAATTATATATTTCATCGTTCCAATGTGAGTAATTAATTAAACTGAAAAGACCAAAGGTAAACAATTGTTTTCGGTGATTCATCCTAAGATAAGTACAATCATATGGGTGAAATAGCAATGACCTAAAACTGGATTTGACCAGTACAAAGGAGATTCTATCACGTGCCGAGCAAGGGCCTGTAACTAGAAGCCTTTCAACAGCTGTCAAGTCAACTTTCTCAGCAGCCAAGCTTAGTTGTACCTTTTCAACGAAGTCACGCATTCGTATTCACAACAAAGACAAGTTGCCAACGCTGACCGCTTCTATGGGCATTTATTCGTTCGAGTGCGCCTGTGGCGCTATGTACATCAGTCGAACGGCGCGGCAACTCGAAGCGCATTAAGGAGCACCTACCACGCTGGTTGCGTCAAGGCGGTACTTGCGTTATAACTAGCTCTGTTATGGCTCATCTTGTTCATAGTAGGCATGAGGTTGACCCAATCCGTGCGTTTCGGATACTATACAGGGTCCCTCTACTCCAGTCGTAAGGTCTGCGCCTCCGCACCCTTGCTACTGCCGAGACGATCAGCATTCTTCTGTATCGACGGCTTTGTGTGCATAAAAGAAGTTGATCGAAGCTGTTAAGCTACCTAGGCCAGGCAAAACGGATCCTTCTGAGGGCAACTGTAATTGTGCAACTGCACCTTTGTCCTAGTTGGTCGTTTGTCACTGGTGCATGCCCTCGGTTGGCACGTTATAGTATCTCATTTGAACTGCTCAAATCTACTTTTACGCCCATTGCTATTTCACCCATATGATTGTACGGGTTTGAGGATGAAACATCGAAAGCAACTGTGTACCTTCGGTCTTTTTTGTGATAATTAAATATGAATTTCCCATTTACTTAAACAGAAAACTAGTGTTTACAAAGCTCTCCAATATCATCCTAATCCAAGGCGTGGAACACGTGAACACCACTAATTTGTTAGACCTAAATGTGGAGCATGTATTTTGAAAAGGAAAAGTCAGTTTGACTGAAGTTAAACGGCCTAGCCAACAACTTAAATGTGTTTACAGGTGGTGTAATCATTTCTGCAACCGCTGAATTAAAGGCTTCATTCTATATGATGAGGACCTTACGTCTAAAACCAGAATGTAACGCACGCCCCACCATATACTACCAAGCAGCGGTGTCTGGTAAACCATGCTGTAGTATTAGATCGATTTGCGTCATCGAAAGTATTTCAATGGGTCAAAACTGGTCAAAAGCACAGCGAGGTTCACAAAACCAAGTAGAGAAAAACTCTGTGTTTGTTATCATTGGACACACTCATTTAGTGTGCAGCTGGAATTAAAGCTGGTCCCAACAGTCCAGATCTGCAGCGCATAGAATTCGCTTTGTCCAAACGTACAACAGTACTTGCGATGAGACTGGACCTTAACGTGTTGCGATGGCTTGTGTGTCTCAGTGATCCATTGAGCTTTGCTGGGTGGTGCATTTTGCATTTTCAGAGCCACGGATCCCGCATTGGTCAATGGTTAGAGGCCAGACAAACTCAGTCTCCCTGCCCTCCAGGTTGGGGGTTGGAGTGAGGTTGGCTCCTTACTCAATAAAAAGAGCTCTCTGTAGTCCAACGCCAAAACCCCGCTGTCTTGCGGTAAGGTTTTTGAACCAAAGGCTTTGGTTGAGAACTTTAGTCGTTCTCCTGTCTAGGCTTGGGCAATCTGACAGTATCTTGCCCACGCAATACACCATGACCCTTCCATCTAACAATCTCTTGATGCTCTGGTCGTCGCAGAGAATACTAACATGCGCCGTATCTGCTGCAGCGAGCAGGGTAGAAAGGGCTTTGGATGCTACTGCTCAGGCTTTCCCGCCTTTTTATTTCCCTCTCTTGCGCTTTTTAATCCTTAGCGTCCAGTTGCAACTTCACTTTTAACCCCCACTTTCAATCCCCAATTGTTGACCCGCCCTCAGCTTACTTCAATAGTCGCTTGTCTTCTAGTTGCAACTCCCACAATCGCAGGGCATCGCTCCAATCCAGTGAACAAGTCCATGTTCAATCAAGCGGACAACGTCAGTTCATCCATTTCCCTTTGGAGTCCTCACTCCTCGCTAAGATTGGCATGCATCAACGTGCGCACTTTGGTACAGATTGACCAACAGGCAGCACTTACCCGAACACTAGTAACTCCATCGATTGATATTTCCTGTTTATCCGAAACCCGCCTGCAAGATTCGAGCTCCGTACTTACTCTGCGATCCCCACATGCGACGCTGGCGGCACATCCTCATTCCGTCTGTCTGGTGATGATGCAACTTCAAATGCCGGTCAAGCTGGCGTCGGCATTGTTTTGAGTCCCCTGGCTGAAGCTGCCCTGATCGACTGGATCCCTGTCAACAACCGAATGTGCGCCGTTAGGTTGGCTGATTTGTTCCAGGCTTCGAAGGCGCGCGGGGACAACCGGTGCCTGTTTGTCAATACAGCCAACGCCCCTACAAACTGTAGCACTGATTCGGTAAAAGATGATTTCTATCACCAACTTAACGATCTTCTTCGTTGCAGAAGATGCACGGATGGTGTGGTGCTTGCTGGTGGTCTAAACGCCCAAGTCGGAAAAGTGTTTTCTGATGAGCTTCATCTGGGCAGCAAACATGGTGTAGGCTACCGTAAAGATAATGGTGTGCGGTCTCTACACCTGGGTGAAGGTGCTCGTCTCTTTCTCGCGAGCACAACATCTGCAGAAGAGTGAGTTGGCGTCCACCAGTCTCGGGCCAGCCATGGACGCAAATCGATCACATCACGATTAGTTACTGCTGGAGAGGCTGTGTCCAAACTGTCGGTCGATTTGGAGCACCAGCGTGGACTCCGATCACACACTTATATGCGACGACCTGCAGGTGCGTTACGGCGGACGTCCGTAAAGTCGCTCTGAGCGCATTGACACCGGGTGTGCTGAATGCGTATCAAACTACGCTGGCATCTGAGTTGAGTAGGCATCCACTAGACACCGTGGAAGATCACTAGGCGCATATTCGCCAAACCTTATTGTCAGCAGACACGTCTTCATGTGGCAACTCAAATTGCCAACCTAGATATTGGGTCTCTACAAAGTCTCTGGAACTTGTGGATGCTCGCCGACGTATTCCGGCTGAAAGCGAATACAATGAGACTAGTAAAATTTTCAGGGCAAAACTGCGGGCTAGCTTGAAGAGAGACCGCGAAGCCTGGTGTTCTCTCATCGTGCATCGGAAATGGAAACAGGCGCTGCCGTTGGTAATCACCGTAAGTTATTCCGTCTGATCCGGGAAACAGGCAGCAGGAGACGTGGCGTTAGCGAGACAATACGCGGCGAGAGTGGACAGCCGATCCACGGTCTGTCGTAACGACTGGAGCGTTGGGCCGAACATTTTGCAAGGCAGGTTAACCAATCCTAGTTAGCGCTCTTATCTTTCGGACATTGAGTGCCATTGTCCATGGGCCGTCTCCTTAGATGCACCCCTACGCGCAGAAATCGAATGTGAGATCAGACGGTTGAAATTGCACAAGGTCGCTTGTGCAGATAGAATACCCTTAAGCTCTCTACAAA